TACAGGCACCCACCAAAATGCCAGACTATTGTGGTGTTGGTGTTGTTGTTGCAGTTGTCATTGTTTAGCTGGCCTGGGCCAGGTTTGAACTGCCAGCCTCAGTGCATGTGGCCGGCAGCATAACCACTATGTTATGGGTTATAAGTTTATAAGCAAAACCAAACATGCCCACTATGTGGATTTGGTGGGTCACTGATTCTAGGGCTTATCAATAAAGAGGCATCAGCCTAGGCCAGGAGCAGGTGGACATGCCCTTGAGAGGCCAGGCAGGGGCACCACCATCATGCATAGACTTGGGCAGTTGCCAGGTTCTGCTTTGTCCTAGGAACCCAATGGGATGCCCACTGGCTGTCTGGGACACACTGTCAACCCCATGGTGGAGACTTACCCGGTTGCCCTGTGCTGTGTTGTCCTGTGTTCGGTAGGAGACCTGGGACTTGCCACTGTCTAGGATGCGCCGGACAACGGGAATGCGGGCCACCTTCTCCCCGCGGGTGACAGAGTACTCAGGCTGTTCAAAGAACACCATCCCGCTGGCTGCAAGGAGCCCGGGCACCAGTCAGAGGGTCCTGGCCTCTGTCCCCTTCAGCTCCTGCTCTCCCTCCTGCCTAGCCCAGCCCAGGTGTCTATTTAGTACCCCTCACCCATTGACCTCTGGGGAGGGTGGAGGGATGGGATGAAAGATTCTTCCAAAAATAGTTGAAAAGGCTGGAGCAGTATCTAATAGATATCATGGATGGGTCATGGCAGAGAAGGAGGCCAGGCAGGGGCAGGACCCAGGTGGATCCTTAAGACTAGATGGAGAGGAAGAAGAGGCTGGATGGGGGCAGTGCCAGGAGGACCTGACACTTTGTGACCATGCTAACAGAAGCTCCCACTTAGTGAGCACTCACTACCTGGCACTGTGCAGAGAGAGAGAGACCCAGGTTCAGGAAGCTACATGGCCAAGTCCTACTCCGCTGTCAGGAGGAAGCAGGTGCACGCAGCCCTGTCCACCTGCCTCATTCTCCCCACTCTGACTGACCTTGCTCTTTGATGATGGTGATGTTCACCAGACGGCGGCCGAGGGTGGCGGTGCCCACAGGCACATCGATGGCCTCCACCAGTAGCTGCTTCTCGTCATCATCCTCAGGCCGGATGAAGAGGGGCACGCGCACGTCTACCAGCTCCACGCCCTCCTGGAACTCCACCATACCCCGGGCATCTGGGTGGGGGTTAGGTATGGTTGGACATGGCTGTGCAGGTGGGAGGTACAGGGGGTGATGCTAGGTGCCTGCCCACCTACCCTGGTCTGTGGTGAGGGTGTAGTAGCCAGGGGCCACCTTGAGTTCATGGAAGGACCCCTGTTCCACATGTTTCTCCGTGAGCTTCAGCAGGGCCTGCTTAGCCGAGCGGGGTGCCGTCAGCACCGTGTCCACAATGGTGTGGTCTTGCCTGGGTTAGGGAGTCAGGCAGGGAGGCGTCAGGCTGGCACATGTCTTACCTGACCCTCCTGCCTGTCCTCTCCCCATCAGAGGACAGGATGTAAGACAGCCAGATGATGTTGGAGGCCCATGTTAGCTCTACCACCCTCACCCTACATCCTTAGCTGACCCATAGGTCCTCCCTGAGCCTGTGTCTTCCTCTGTGAAATGCGCTTCCCCACTCTCCTCCCTGAGAAGGGCTAGAGAGGAGACTTGACCAGCACAGGGCAACAGAGATGCTAAGGGCATGGGTGCTAAAGCCAGGCCACCCAGGGCCCAACCCTGGCTCTAGTCCTTGACAGCTAGGTAACTTTGGGCCAGTCACCTAACCTCCCTGGGCCTCAGTTTCCTCATCTGTGAAATGGGGACAAGCAGCACTATGTGCTCCACAGGGTTAATGAGAGAGGGTCTGGTAAGATAACCATACACCCAGCTGGGTGCCCGTAGCTCAGTGAGAAGGGCGCAGGCCACATACACTGAAGTTGGCAGGTTTGAGCCTGGCCTTGGGCCTGCTAAACAACAATGACAACTGCAACAAAAAAGTAGCCAGGCACTGTGGTGGGCGCCTGTAGTCCCTGCTAAGTGGGAGGCTGAGGCAAGAGAATCGCTTAAGCCCAAGAGTTTGAGGTTGCTGTGAGCTGTGATGCCACAGCACTCCACTGAGGGCAACATAGTGGAGATTCTGTCTCAAAGAAAAAAAAAAGGTAACCATCTACCAAAGCTCTTGCACAATACAATGCCTGTCTGGTTGGGGCCCTGGAGACTACTGGTCTAAACTACTCTTCCTATGGCTGTTCTCCTAGGTCTGTCACCTCCATTTTGAGACCCCCTCCCTTCCTCCCTCTCCCTCCGAAGGCCAGGATTCGATGGGACCCGGGGAAAGAGGACATGACCTGCTGGCCCATCTTCTTGGTAACCTGCCTGGCATCTAGAGATGCCCCCATGATCAGGGTCATTGACCCTGGAAAAGTCACTGAGCTGTCATCCCTGGTCCTGTGAGGAGGGCAGTCACTGGTATGAGGACAGGCTCTGTTTTGTCTGTTCTGGTCCAGGGGCTGCTTCATAGTAAGCATGTCACGTTAGTTTTTTTTTTTTTGAAACCCCACCTCTGGTACGTGGGGCTGGCACCCTACTCCTTTGAGCCACAGGCGCCGCCCAATCACGTTAGTATTTGTTGAAGGAAGGTCCTAACCCATGGCAGCTGCATCCAGCCCTGCCTTCCTCCAGCATGGGGGTGGAGGACAGATGGGCAGAAGTAGGGCTGGCCCACTGTGTATCTTCTACTCACTTTTTCCCAGCATTGGGCTGTTGCCTGTGGGGAACAGAGAAGGGGCCATGAGCCAGATGGTCCCTGGGGTAGAGGGTGGTCTGCACGAGGGCTTCAGTTCCTGGAGGGGCTGCAAGTGGCTCCCCACCCGGCCCTGAGGAACCTAGCTTCCCACCTTGGGTGGCCCAACTCAGTGCAGCTATGATGCCCCCACCCAACTTGGGGCGGCAGACTCACCGGAACTTAGTCTGCTGGAGCTTGTGTACACCTGAAATGTGTCTGTATACCTCGTTCAGCTGCCAGGCAAAGGAGGGCCATGAGGCAGGGCCTCAGCTGCCCCGTGAGCCCTCCAGGCTGGGGCCCTGGGAGCTAGGTGGGGTCTCTACCCAGAGGACCT